AAAGTCAAAAGCAAATTGATATTAAAATTTTAAAGTGGCAATTGACAAGATTTTTTTGAAATAGGTAAATGATAGTAACTTAATAATATATTATTGAACTTTAAAACAGAGCTTTTCCTGTGAACTTTTAGATTCTAAGCAAGAGCAATGTATATCCTTGATATTAATAATAAAGAATAATAGTGACTGTTATTGGATTTTTAGTTTTTACAGCTTTTTATAAAATCCTATTGTTAATACTTATTTGGGACAAATGGGGAAGATTTGGAGATCATAAGGGGGACTTTGCCAACTTATGCTGTGGAGCTCATGTCGACTGTCTGATCCTTGTGTTAAAAACATCTATTTGGGATATCTTCCTCCTCTCATGCTAAACCTTGGCCTCCTGCCATCACACTTTTAAGTCATAGAATTCTTCCATACCTGTGCATGCGTTTAGAAAGGTCAAATGTATTTTGAGGGCCACTAGAATCCTTGATGGAGAAAGATACATTCATAACATTTGTGTATTAGTCATATGAACAGTGGTGGCACTGCTGTGTGGCTGTGTCAGGGCATGTGAGTAAAATGTGTTACCGCAGAAAGTAAATTTCACAGCATTATTAACATACAATTATAGTGCTCTTGTAAGACCTATCATGTGAATATTAAGCTAAGTATTTCTTTTTTCTTTCCATTTCCAGATTCCTAAGAATCTATTTGTAGGGGAAGTTGACATATCAAGGTCTGTAGATGGATGACTGTTATCTCCTTAGCTCCTAGACAAAGTGTAGGGGGATGTGATGGATTTAACTAGAAGGCATTGATCATGGTTTATCAAAAATACTACTGAAATTTTATACCCTAGAGGAAATTTTAGGGTTAAATAGGTTTGAAATAAGATTTGTAATATTAATTTGCAAAATAATAAGTTGATAGAATGCAACAGTTATCCATTAATGAAATTCTTATGTTAATGTGTTTGTTTCACATTAACTCACTTTTAAAATGTATGATTGTGGTGAGGGGGGCATTAGGACGTTTTATAACTGACAGTCTAATACAAATCAAAAGGCAATTATAGAATATGTTAAAATGGAGTTCAGGGTTTCTGACTTCTTTATCCTGGGATATAGAAAGCTGGAAGGAACATAGTTTCTATTCTTATAAAAAGCCAGACTAAGATCAAATTCATGATTTTTTCAGAGAGCTGAGACTGTAGAGAAAACAAATTCCTGGATCCTCTCTTTCCCCCTTTGTGTGTATCCATTGTGGACAAAAGCCTTGATCTGTGGGAGGTTGGGAGGAAAAGGGAAAAACTGCTTATCCTTAGGCAGTGGTGAATGCTCTTTGCAGCTGGAAAGGGAAAGAATAAACGACAGTTCTGGGAGAGGGGCAGAGTTAAGTACTGAGCCCCAAAGGCAGCCTTGAGAAGAGCAGGAGATTGGAGAAGGCCACATCCCCAAGGCTGGGGACACAGTGCATGCCCAAAGCAGAGCCTTAATCAGAAGAACAGAGACAGCACCCTCTTACACCCACCCACAAGCTAAGAAGATACAAATAACAAGTCCTAGCAGGATACTGCTGGGAGAGGGCCAGTTGAGGAACAAATGGCTGAAAAGAAACCTGCACTTTTTCACAGCACAAAGGGAGGCCGTAAAACTCGTAATCAAAAAGACGCTGTTCTGTCAAACCATTCACCACCGCAGACACAAGCAGCATCTCCTGGAATTTGCAGTCTTTGCTTCACTGAGAGTATCCATAGCAACAATAAATCACAAACACAGCTCAGCTCCTAACCAGATTAAAACAAACCCTTGTACTAAAACGTGTAGCAGAAGGAAAGGAAAGCCCATTTCCATGCATATCTTGTTATTTAAGTACTAGGAAGGGTGAAATGTCCCTAGGAATCACCAGTCATGGACTTGATTTGCCCCCTGTACTGAAACATAGAAATGTGCACTGTGATATACAACACTTATTGTCTTCACATGATTATTTAAGAACATGTTCTTCTAAATAAAATAGTTTTTACTGTAAAGACCTCTAAATACTCTCCAACATGGAATGATCTTAAGAAGTATTAGTTCCATGAGATTTTTGAAAGTTAGTCACTAAGTTAGCAAGTTTCAGTACAATTTATTATTACCAACAATGGGCAAGGTTAACTTTATTGGAGACCTTTGCCTTGGCTCTCAGTAATAATAAAGAATGATTTTTTTTTTTTTTAATGAAAAGTGTAGATGTTCTCAGTGCTCTGCTTGTATCCTCTCAGCTCCGCGTGAAGGCCACTTGCAGCTTCATTGTGCAGTTCCCTTACAGGTCCTGGCTTCCTTTCTCAAGCAGGCTGCCTCTCTGCCTAAGGGCATCAGTCTAGAGCCGAAATGCCAATGAGTTAATGCCTGCAGTATCACCATCAACCAATGAGAGACAGGAACGGGTGGATAAATATCTTATTTTCTCACCTCTTGGTGGTCCAGCGTGGAGTTGTGTTTCAAACAGTCTCTCAAAGGATTGCAGGTGGGATTAACTCCAGGATACCTCTAGCAATGACCTGTTCATTTTCCTCTGCTTTTTTTGCTTTCCTGTGTTCTCTGTTTCACTTCTCCATTCCTTCACCATGCTTCCTGGGATCATCTCTCAAATAAACTACTCGCACCAAAATCCTTGCCTCAGTATCATCTTTGGAGGGAACCAAATGAAGACAGACATCATTTTTTTTGTGCCTGTGTATTGATACATATATATATATATATGTATTATGTATAATAGATGTATATACATATATTTGATAACTGGAGTGGAAGAAAAAGATCTTGCTTGAGTGTGTATTCATTTCCTAGGGCTGCTGTAATAAACTACTACAAACTTGGTGGCTTAGAAGAGCAGAAATTGCTTCTCTCACAGTTCTGGAGGCTAGCAGTTTGAGATCAGGTTGTTGGCAGAGCCAGGGTTCTCTGAAGGCTTGAGAGGAGAGTCCTTGCTTGCCTCTTCATAGCTCCTGGTGGGTATAGCTGGCAATCCTTGGCATTCCTTGGCTTGTAGATGCATCACTCTAATCTCTGCCTCTGTCTTCACGTGGTGTTCTCCCTGAATCTGTGTCTCTGTGTTTCCACATGGCTTTCTCATAAAGACACCAGTCATTGGACTTAGGGGTCTACGCTAATCCAGTATGACCTTAACTAATTACATATGGAAAAAAGCTGTTTCCAAATAAGGTCACATTCACAGGTACTGGGGGTTAGGATTTTGTATATCTTTTTGGAGGATATAATTCAACCTACAATAGTATGTTTGTATGTTTTTATTATTATAATATTTAATACTTCCCATATTATATTAGATAATGATGAATAACTGACTACCCTTAGACTGATTGCAGTCTGCCTCGCCTCCAAATACAGTCTATGTTCTAAGTTCAGAATAAAAAATTAGAAGTGTATTCATATTACTACTAATCAAATATGTTTCAATATAAACAATTCAATGACCAAAACATTGTCAATTTTCTATTGTTTTTTTCTTCAAGGAGCTGAGTAATAAAAGGTATGTATGATCCCGGCCTATTTAGCCTTTTTTGTATCTCCATGATATTCATGTTGAGCTCAGCAACCTGCCATGAATCCTGGCATCCTGACACGTTTTTACTGGGGATGCCAAGAATGGAAAGCCTTGACTTCTCCTTACCAGGCCATCTCTAAGGCTGTGTTTGCAGTGAGCAATCTTGAGATACGCAGTGACATTATCTTTTTGAACAGGGTAGACTTGCTCCTGCTCGCTAGAAAACTGATGAATCCCCCAAGCTCAGTGTTCTTCTCCTAGAAGGCAACCCACTGCATACATGGAACTCTATTATGGCCCAACTACATTATCCCCATGGGACTTTGGGAACAGGGAACTGACACCAACCAACAACATGCTCATGCTACTTACTGAGCCATGAATAGCAGTAAGTCCTTTGTCTCTGACCTGGGAGATTCATGTTTTACTGTAGCAGGTTAAATTATGAGCTTGTTTGCAGAGTGAAAATCCAAGACTCTTCAGAGTTATCAATAATTTAGTCAAGAAATATATTAAAGAAAGTATATACTTATTAAAGTATGACCTCTGTAGAGAATTTCAATGTTGGATGATATATAATTTCTTCCTTATCCTTTTGTACATTGTTTGAGAGATTAAAACAATGAATAATTATTATTTGTGTAATAAAAAAATGTTTAGAAATTCAGCTGGAAAGCATTTTCATTTGTTTCAAATTACTCATTATGTAGCACAACATCATGCCATGCCTGTGTTAGCAACGTTGATTTTTAGTCATCCTTCAGATTTCTGCTGAAGTGTCCCTTCATCTGGATAGATTTTCCTAATTCTTTTGCTATTCGTTTCTTTCCTTCCCAGTGTGTCATGTGTCACTTGCAATTATATATTCACTAGGGTAATAGATTGATGAAGTAATGATGGCCATTTAACTGTAAACTCTACTAGAGCAGAGCTTGTTTTCTTTCCTTTTCTTCTCTCAGTCCTCCTCCTCCTGTTCCTCTTCCTTAACTTTCTTCCATTTAACATTTTTTCATCAGAACCTAGCACAGTGCCTTGCATATAATAGGTACTCAGTACATTTTTTAATGAGTCAACTAAACCACATAACTTAGAAGTGACAATCTGGACTCAAACTTAGTGATGTCTGATCCCAATGCTCAAGTCCTTCACTCATGTTGGTTTTCTAATTACTTTCGGTGTTATGATAATCTTGTCATATTTTGTGGATTAGAAAACTCCCTCAGGCTGAAATTTTGTAAACAAGTTCTTGACACTATACACTTAATGGCAGGATTTGCAAGACTCTTTATGATCTGAGCTCCTGTCTAAATTTCATCACCATCTTTCTATATTCCCCATCTTGCATACTCTGTTCTTGTCACACTCAAATGTGCCATGGTCTTCCTCACTCTGTGACTGCTTAGGAGGCCTTGTCCCACATTTCAACAGATTCACTTCTGATCCCCCTCTAGTTTTCACATGGGATCATTTCTTCAATGGGCTTTGTCTGACTGTCCCAGCCCCACCTACCCCGTGACTAGAGCTGGCCTTTTATGACCTCATATGCCCCTTTACTCCCCTGTGCTCACATCTATTGTAGCAAGAACCGCCTTGCTAAATAACACTGCATTTCCTTGTCAATTTAACCTTCAAAACTGTAGGCTGAAGCTAATTAATGGCAGAACTCTGACTTGTTCATTGTTATTATTGCTCCTACAATGGTACAAGACATCAGATAAGTGGCAAATGCTGACCCAAGGTAAGAATGAATGGACACCTATTAAAGTTCTCAAAGTGAAAAGTAGCCAGATATATACCATCTGGTCCATAATAGTCTCTATAAATCTTATTCTAAATTGAGAAGCCAAATTCATACTAAACTTTTCAGGATAGTTCCTAAAATGAACCGTAAATATAATTTTACCTTATCAGACTTTTTAAGGTGATAGTCTAGTGATGACTTTTGTCAAGCTTTTAAAAGATAATAGATAAATTTAATTAAATACATAATATATTCCAAGTAATATTCTAAGTGCCTTACTTATATAAAATACGTTTTCCCCAAGCAAACAGTATGAGGTGGGTACTAATATCCCGCTCATTTTAACAATGGGGAAACTGAAGCACAGAGGTTACATAGGTAGCCCATATAACTAGGAAGTGGCAGAACCATGATTTGAATTCAGTGAGTCTGGCTCCAGAGCTCATGGTTCTGGCGAGAAAGCTCCACTTTTTTATATGTACTTCAAGTGGCACATTCCATACTCAATCCCTCTAGTTTTTCCCTGTGGACATGTTCTGAATTCCAGAAATATGCACAGGGCCATAGTAATGCTGTGTTGGACAAAAAATATTTATGGAGTATATTGAAAATGAATTATCAATATGTTTTATAAACGTGGCACCAAAAATGTAAAACTAGTATTCCAGATATGGCTGAGCAGGATAAGTGGGACCATCATATTCCCTGATTAGGATTGTTGTTCTCCTATTAGAAGAACATAACGAAGATATTAATGGATCCACCTTCCATTAATGTTTGAAGTCCTCCTTTCTCAGGATGCAGCTTGAAAACTCTGCTATCCAATTTTTTTCAAGATGTGAATTGTTAAAAACAATATTCTGGAAGACTAGGTGGCAGGTTTGCAAACATCATTTCCATTAGTCTACTCAGTTTTTCTTCAAAGATGGTCCTCAAAACACCTTCGTCAGAATCTTGAGTGGTACTTGTTAAACGTGAGGGGTCCATCCTCTGTTCTTCACCTACTTAGAATCTCTGCAAGTGACACCCAACGTTGCGTATTTTAACCACCAATTCAGCTCAGTCTTAAGCACACTAAACTTTAAGAATCATCAGTCTAGATTTTAAACATTTATCCAGCGGATCATGAATAAATTGTTTGCTGGGACAATTCTTTTCATCCTCTGAAGAGTTGATTTGAGCAAACTGAGCTAAGTAAGTATACCTTCACCTTGTCTTCAAGGATGTAGTAAAGAAACTCTTTCTGATGTTGTGATTGACTTTAGCATTGTGATATTGTTGAGAACGTCACCAATTTCATCACTTAATGTCCCATTAAAATGGGCCCAGCAGATTAGTGTGTCAGAGCTGAGAGCTGGGAAAGCCTCGATTTCGTTGAGTCAACTGTGTGTGTGTGTGCATGTATGTGTGTATATACACATGTGTGCACACAAACACATACATATATGTTATTATATATACACTGACCCTTTCATAACTGATACGGATATAATTTTGCCATCTCTGCTTGCTTAGTTTTACTATTTGAAATTTTTATCTGTCTTTTGGATTTGTACTATTTGTCTTATTATATTTTATATGTTTCTGTAATTCACCTTAAAACCTTTTGAAGTGAGGCAGCGTATAGGTTAAAAGAACAAGCAAACAAAGAGAATGAATAAAATAACAAGTCTGAAAGTACTTAAGCATCTGATGCTACTATTGAATTTATGTTTTTTTAAAATAGAAATAAAGAATTTACTTGTATTTGCAAGTGACTCATCTCCATCGGAAAAAATTACTCAGCTCCAGGAGGAGAAATGCTAATATTAGGGCTAAAGATTTTTAAAATTTCTAGATGTTAAAAGCGGCAAGTTATGGGACGTATTAATAGCCATTCATTCATATTGTTTTAGTTGAGAAAGGCAATCTCAAATTCAATCAGGGATAGAAAAGTGGCCTTTTTGTGAAATCAACTACTCCAGTCATCTAAAAGGTCAATGGCATCTGACCTTTTGCAAACCACTTATAAAGCATGGGGTAACAGCGCCTGCAGGCTTATCTTCCTGGTCTTTCTATAAATAAATCATCTTATTAAGAGACATGGAAAGCAAAGAGTTTTTATGTCAGCCAAGCAATGATGATTTAGAACACTGTAAAAAAGTAAAGTGGGTCATTTCTAATGTGATTTGAGAAGTAATCAAAATGGAGTAGAGTCAGAAATATAACCAAACTTAAATTTTCAAACGTCACATTTTAAAAAGTTTTTTTCTTATTTCTTTCACCACTATCATAGAGAAAATGTTTCATCAGGTCATCATATGCTCAGGATGCTGGCAGCTTTCTCACATTACTACTTGAGTAATTTCAGATATATGATGCATTCTAAATTTTGATAATAAATATAAATATGGATGATTTTAAAACAGTTAATTTATATTTGCATTCTTTCTTTTTTTAAAAAAAATGTGAAACGGAGAGAGACCACTTAAAAAAATAGTTTGCTTATAAATTTAGGGTCCCAAGGATGATTTAAAAATGCTTCAAAGTTGTTCAGAAATGTTTGCTGTGAAATAATCTTAGGTATGTACAGGACAAAACTAAAAGCTAAAAATTTCTTGATTTCTTGTGATACATAATGCCATTTATATTCTAACAGTTTGAAAATACTCTCCAGTTGCACTTGAGTAATTTCCTGATTTATGTGTATAATCTTGGCTTGAATTTCCTCCAAATCATCTTATCTTAAAGAACAGTAACATATTTTTGCCGTTTTCTTCTTACTGTGAATATGTCACGTTTATTAAAAGTTAAGGTTACACAAGAAACTTACAAACACCCTGCAAATATCCTTACTTTCAAAGATGAGTGATACGGGCTTATTTTTCTCTATTACTATGGGAAATTTGATCTGATGACACCCTATCAACACATGAGTAGGTAAAGCTTTCAATGAATGCTTAAAAGTATTTATCCTATTTATAATATAACGAATGCTCAATAATTGTTATTCCTTATGAATGCAACACTATAAAAATAGCTGAGATATTTCTTAAGAGATATTTCTTAAGAGATAAAAAGTGAGATTCTCATCTGTGAAGGAAACCCTTATGATAGCCTCAGTAGGAAAAGATAACAACAGTGAACGTACTCATTAACAGAGCTGGCATCAATTTAATTTTAATCTGTGAGGGATCTTCTTTTCATCATTTCATTGTTGTGTGCGTGTGCGTGTATGTGTATATGCGTGTAAAGAAACAGCTTTGATTTTTGTACATCAATGTAAATTCTGTGGATATAATCCTATTGCAGGAGTTGAATTTAAAATAAAATTTATATAAATGCAGAGGAAAACAAACATTTTTCATCATACACAAAGTTTAATTTTCTAAGTTGCTTTGCTATGCTGTTCTGCTGACACTGTCACAGAATGCAGAGGTCTCTCGTATGTACAAAATAGAAAGGATATATCATAAGGTCAGCACACTAGTAGGTACGGCAGAGCGTTCCTCCACTGATCAGAAGTAGCTAGATTTCCACACCAATTTAATCTTTGACCTTTTAACTTGGCCATTCCTTTGGGGATTCTACGCTATGGCACCTGTTAACTTGGAATTCTACAGGGACTGTAGGTCTCCTTTCAATGGCTGTCAATTGGACAACAGATTGTAGCAATTTTTAGCTACTATGAGTCTGGATTCAAATTGTTGACCTCTAGGTCAGGAGCCCATTGCTAATCCTTGGAGCAATTCAGTCTCCTAGTTATTATGTGTCGTTTAGTAGGCTTGATTCATGTGCACATCTCTTAGCAACATCAATAGAAACTCTGTGTGGGGATCAAGAGGGATGAAGGGCCCAGATTTCATTGAAAAAGTACAATAGAAGATGTGGATTAGTTTTGTGATTTTGAGTTGTGACATCTCATTGATTATGAAGAGGGATCTGTGGACACATAAAAACCAATGGGATCACAGCACAAATTATGCTTAAGACAAACACCTAGTTTTTATAGGGATATAGAACATGAATAATTTTTCTTCCTCTAATGCAATCAGTGTGTATACCTAAGTGATCTATGCCACTTCTAATTCTCATTTTCTGGAAAAATCTCTTTATTTTAGTAGAATTTTTACTAAACATGATTTGTACAGAAATAGCTTTTGCAGCAAAGGCATTATTTATTCAAGTAAAATAAGGCAGTATATTACAAAGCTTTGAGACAAAAATTTTGAGCAATAAGCATTAGTAGTTATGTGGATAATTTTGGGGAAATGCATTCTATTAGATTAGTTTTGTGTATGAGGAAGAAAGTCGCAGAGTTTATTAAAAAGTAGAAATATAACAGGAGGCATAGAGAATAAATTAATTTATATTCAGGGCTCTATCAGAGAGAAATATGAGCAAACCTTTTCCATTTTTGCAGAGGATAAATAGTGTAGATTTGGTAAAAGAGAAGTAAGTTAGATTTAAGATAAGATATGTTCATGGAAAAGATGGTTAAATGCCAGCTGTCAATAATGGCAATAATAACAGCAGACATTTATTGAGGGCTTACTATGAGCTGGGTGGCATTCAAAGCACTTAACATGCATTAATCCATTTAAGATTCAAAAAGCACGTTAAAACAAACATGAAGCAGTTACTATCATTTCCCCAATCTTAAAGAAGACACAAGAGAAGCACAGACAAGCTAATCATTTCCCCAGGGTCACGTTACTGGCAGGTCATGGAGCCCGCGTTTGAATGCAGGCAGTCTGTCCAGAGCCTCAACTCTTAACCTCAAAGCTGCTTAGGAAAGTTCCTTTTGCCTTCTTTAGATTATAACTGAGAGTTACCGTAAAATCAGTCTCATCATTTCTCCCAGACCGATTTCTTAATCCCTATCTCCCTATTTCTATTATTGAATAATAATATAATTCTCCATATCCTGTAAGTTTGATTCTCAGTCATCTCGGGTCCTTCTTGTCCTTCATGCCCTGAATTTAATCATCCATAAAGTCCTGTGCCTGACACCTGGT